AAAAGCCTCTTTTGCTCTCATCTAGGCACAGTGTCTTTCATCTTCAGGATAATTTAACTGAGCTGGTCACCAGCTCTCCAGCAGAAAGCATCCCAGCACCACCTGCACAGAGGGCCAGGCAGCTTGGGTTCAGCAGGGTGAGCAGCCAGCAGAGAGAAAGGAGGGGCTGTAGCTGCCTTGGGCCCCCTGTCATAGAATCATAGAACCACCTGGGTTGGAAGGGACCTCCGAGATCATCAAGTCCAACCCTTGATCCAACCCCACCGTGGTTCCCAGACCACGGCACTGATGCCACATCCAGTCCCTCTTGCTCTCTGCAGAGGACCAAGTTCTTGTTAAGCAATTGTTGGCAGTGCTGTGAAAGCTGCATATCTTGACATTGTGCTTTCCTAAGACAGCCAGTCTCAGATGTGCTACCCTCATAAAAAGCTGACCTCAGCTAGAGATCAACAGACCTTTTCCTGGGGCAACTTACCCTGCTACTTTGCTCTGCAGGGTTTTCTTTTACTTTCCTTTGATGCGTCAGTGTAGCTACTGTTAGGGAAAGATCCAGTTCTAGATGGACCAAAGGCAAGCTCCTGACTTTCTACCCAAGAATTACACCATGCCCTTAGATTTTATCTTACCAATGCCGTTCTTCACACAGACTTGTTGGCAGCAGACAAGGGAGAGAATGTCATGTCATGTCATGTCCACAAAACTCATGAGTGAACAAACAGCCATGTGCACCCCAAGTGCAGCCTGGCTGACCCACCTGATTAGGAATGAAACAACAGAGGTGTTGGTAGAAAACTGTCCCGTTGTCTTTCTTGGACTGATCCTGTATCATAACATCAGATTGCTCACAGTGAAAGTGTTTGGTCATTAGGCTTACAGGAGGTGGTTGCCAAAAAGCAGAACATACACAGCACTACTTTCAGAGCCACTCTTTTCAGAAGGTTTAAATAAATCTTTGCAGGGTCTTTCAATACTGGTTAGGAGCAGGGGGGCACTAGTTCTGCTTTTGTGTTTGTAAAGAAAAGATTTGGTGCCTGAAAATTTTGTTATAATATGCAAGTATTTGCCACAAATATTTGGGGTTTTTTTTTTCCTTGAAAGTCTTGCTTTAATGATGCAACGCCTATTCTCCTACCTGATACTGATACTTCCTCAGCTCACAATTCATAGGAGTACTGTGGTGATTAATGAATGTCTTTGAACTGGAAAGTGCTATCTGAGTGCTAATTACTATCCATGCATACTCATACTTCTGCTGCTTTCAAGTGCAGAACATTCGCATACCACGGTAATGGGAAAGCTTAGGAAAACAGATATTGATACCTAGGAGTTTTATCCACCATAGAAATGTATAAAGGAAGAATAATTTAAAAGTTAGAAGTTTCAATTCATTATTGCATGTTCTAATGAACTGCTCTCCATCTGTTTAATAGGTTCAGGGCAGCTGAAAATGGATTTTAGATTGGAAGCTGCTTGCAGCCTTATCTGCTTGCACTCTCAGTAATGCTAAGTATTATAAAAATATGTTATTGCCCATTGTGAGGAGCACAGTCAAAGTATGCGACCTCAAATGCAAAGTGCAAGTTGAAGGGTATGGATTCATCCAAATGCTGCCTCCCAGATGCCAGGACTCTGCATGGATCAATCCAAGGCTCCCACATAAAGCATCTCTCTCCCTCACATGCCTGAGGAAGTATTGCCTGAAGAAACTGTTAGCTCAAGCTGCACTTGAGTTTTTTTGTAGGGATTTTTCTCTCATCCACATTTAAAATGATGGGATTTGAGTGTAAATGATATTTTCAGATGTTTCCTTAATGAGGATACTTTGTTCACATTTATCAGTCAGTGCTAACTGCTTTCAGAGTTCCTCTGCTCCTGTAACTCAACGACCAGCCTGGGAGGGCTCGGGAAGCACATGCTCAGCATCTCAAACCAGCCACTGCCATTCACCCACTTTGCTCTCCAAGGACATGTTAATTAAAGTCAACTGATTGAAAAATAATTACAGGAGAATAGGGAAGGGGAAAGCTTAGACCCATAATTTAAAGATCTCTGATGTTTGAGTTCTGTTGAGAGGTAGTAATTTTGTTGAGAGGGAAGAGGTTCTCTTTCTTTTTCCTTCTCAGGCTCCTTCTGCGTTCACTGCTTGCAGAGGCATGTAATGACTACAGGCAACAATGTGTGGCCTTTTCTTCCTTCAAATATATGCTTTCATCTAGCTTTCATTACTGTTGTATCTTGAGGTGACCTGAAGAGGCTGTAATGTCTAACCTAAAAGGCTGTGAGTTCCTGGACACAGTTGTCCTATAGGATGTGGAATAATGTAAACACTCTAACTGTTAAAAACTGCTACTGTAGCATTTCTGGCACTAATTAAAAACTGGCTAGGGATATTCTTTCTTGATGCTGCCTCTACTTCAAACAAAACCATTTCAACAAATCAAATCCAGGGCACATGGTTTCACATTTTAAGCTAATAATAATAATTGTTTTAGAAACGCGTATTTGCTCAAGGGTATAATTCCTTAAAAAATAACCTGAAAACTCAGCATTAAGCAAATATAAACCCCTTGTTGTTTGGGAGTGGATGTTTTTTCAGCTACTCTCTCTCAAATGAGGATTATGTGTTTCTCACCCACTCTCTGTCCCAGGAGCTGCCAGGACATTCCCAGCAGAGAAGGGCAGAGCTGCCAATGCCTGCCTAGGGTTGGGACAGCCTTCAGCTGTCTGGGGCATCACAGCCTTTCTGTAAACTTGGGCAAGACACCTCCCTCATGCCTGTCCTGTGAAACTGTGGTCGTAGCATCCTCCTGCCCAGGGGCATGCAGAGACCATGAATAGATGACCAAAAGGAAAACCTTTATGTTGGGAAGTCAAATGCAATTTTTAGAAAGCTCTAACTGGACAGATTTACGAAATGATAGTGTGATTTTGGTCTTGTACCAGCCTTGCTGCAGTTGGATTCTGTTCAAAGTACCCATTTATCCAAATCACTGCCTATGTAGCCAAACACAGTAGTGAACCAGAGAAGGGGGGAGTCCTGTTCCCTGATTGTTTCCTTATAACACCAGTGTTTGGAATGGTAACACAGGTGCTTTGAAGGCTACTCTGACTCCCCTAGGGCTTTAGAGTTGCACTTGACATTTAAAAATAACTATATGTAATAAATACATGTTCCACATGTCTATCCATACTACATACACATGCACACAACAGGCACAGATGGACCTGCACAAGGACTTAGAACAATTTGGCTTTGCTAGTGCTGAAAAACTTAGTGACATTTTCTTTTAGTTTTACTTTCAAAGGTGCAAGAAAGGTTTAAGGTGAAAAAATAGTAAAAATAGAGTTAGTATCTGCCATAATTTTAATAGAAAATAAAGCTGACTTTGCCTATGTATAGAGAGAATGCTCTGCATTCATTTGAGATACAAGCATCCACTGGTGTTCCTGGCCTGGAGCTCTGGCTGCTTTACACACTGAATAAATGTAGTTGCCATTAAATAACCTTAATAACCTTATCAGTCAGAGTCACAGCAATCTTTGGTGCATTTTAGAAATTTAGAATGCCAGTACGCTGCAGAAGATTAAAAACCTGCAATGCAAGCCATGAAAAGCAAACAAGTTGCCCCAAAACCAAATAGTCCAGGCCCGTTTAGGACAAATCTTTAAGACTTTTCCTGACATAACTGCTTTGAATCATCACCTCTCCACAACCCATCCTCCCTGCAAACCAATGTTACACAGTCTTACCATACTTAAAACACCCTTTGTAAACAAAGACCACCTTCAAAAACTTTCCTTTAGATCAGGTCCCATTTGCAATAAGAAATACGAGGAAAGCAAAGTGATCACCCCCTGCCACCTGCTGCTGAGCTGCAGCTGAGCCCCTGTGGTCAAGAATTTGCTGGTAAAAAATCCTGTTACATTTTGGGACCCAGTTCCACTGCCTGTGCTCTGATGCACCTTTCACTGTGTTACTAAAAAAACACAGGATTGGCATAGCTGTGTGGCAAAAGCATTTATTTTAATTAATAAAGCCATGTGGCACTGGTAGCAATTGTCATCTTTGGTTCTCATTCTTTCACTACTTAGTATCATACCAGAACAGACTGGGTTCCAGCAGGACTATTCATGGGCTTAAAGCCTCAGGGCTGTGCTCAGCGAGGGGTTTAGAAAGACACACGGGGTGCCCATCTGGGAGCAGGGCTGCTGCTGTTCCTCTGGGACTGCTCCTGACAGCACAGTGGGAGCCAGCAGGGAGGATCTGCAGAACCGAGCCCGGGGACTCGCCGGGCACTGCCAGGGGAGAGAGGCAGCCGCGCCCGTGGCTCCTGCACAGGCAGCCCTCCTGTGCCCACGCTCTTTCCTCATGTTTCCTGCCAGCCAGTAAAAGGAGGTGCAAGCCCTGTGACCAGGATTTCCCTTGGAAATCCGTAGGGCTGCTGAGCTTTTCCAATGGGTGACCTGCGGTGCACCGTTTGGGTGCAGCTGGTTTTATTTTTTATCACAGGTGAAACAGGCAGCTGCCAGTTGTTCATCCCTCTCTCCATGTTTGGCGTGCAAGGTGCAGCTTTTGGGATCATTTCTTGCACATTATCGCACTTTATGGTTTTCATATTGTTTAATTGGTGAAAAATAAAAATAAAAAGTGACACATGCTTCATTTGGAGGAAGCAGTCTACTAAGAGGGCTTTCTCTACAAATTTTGCAGCCATGGCATGATCATTTTTCCCAAAATGTGCTTTTTAACTATATACTACGTTGTCTTTTCAACATGTTAAAAGCAGGGACATATAATTAAAGACAAACTGATGAGGCAGAAACAGACTGGATGACTGTAATTAATTGTACAAAAGAAATACTAAAGAAATTAGTTATTTACTCTAAACAAGAACTTAAATCTACTAATCTGCACTGAAAAAATAAGTACTCTATATGTTAAGTTTAAGGGGTTTGGTTTTTTTATTTCTTGCAGCTGTATTACACCAGACTTCCAGATGAGAGGACGAGACTATGAGTGAAGAGTGCCCTGGAGATCGAATGTACTTCTTTTCCTGCCTCAGAACTGGATTGATCTGAGAACAGTAATTATGAGGCTGACCTGTATGTTCTCCTTCATCTTGCTGTTTGGAGCAGTTGGACTCGTTGTCTTCATTCACCTGCAGGATCCAGAAGAAATAGTTCATCAACAGACACCAGGTTAGGATTCCTATTTCTATTTGAATCACCTGCCCTTTCGTGTTCAGTATTTTGTACTTTTACCCTTAGCATGTTTTACATATTTCACAGAGATTGCCTCAAAAAAGGTATGTAATTCTTAATGAAGGCTATCTTGAAAGTAATTATCAATTTCTTAAAAAAAAAAAAAAAATTGCTGGAAAAACTGTTCCAAGAACCAATTAACTGATTGATTATACAGGGATCTTTGCCAAGGTGCAGAGGGTCCAGCTGGATGGAGTTAAGTTTCTGCTAAACTTGAGACCAACTTCTGCTACCAACTATACCACAATAAATATGAAAGTGAGAGATTTCACCAAAAGTTCTGTTCCTGTAAATGCACCCCTCTGGATCGACCTTTGCCTGCATATGGTATTCAATGTGTCATGAGATGCAAAATAAGAGATGCACAAATGAGTCACACGAGAAACATAAAATGCTTTGGGATGCATTTATTCAATTTGCTTAACTTCAATTAAACGCCATAACTATCATTCATGTGCCATCTTCCTGCATGACTCACTTGAAGCTGTGCAAAGCCACAGAGACCACAGCAATGGGAGAAACAGAAAACTGTGGGCTGAAATAGTAGTTTTCTTTCAAAGGAGGGGCACACAAGAAGTATGAAAGGGCACAAGATCTCTTGATTTACTTACAGTCCCCTTTTTTTCTGACTAAGGCTGTAGTGAAGGCTGGTTTAGAGCCTTGACAAATGCCAGTGCAGTCACTCTAGTTCAGAATAATGCCACTGTGTGTTGGGGGTCAGTTCCTGTGCTTGCTCTTACATGCACTGAAATTGTCCTTTGAATTAACGAGTGCTTTATAAAAAGTCCATTCATTTGACACCTTCATCAGATGACCAACACAACTGTGTATATTTAAAAGTATTACTAACATTTTTGAAGGAGCTGAACCATAACACAGAGAACTCTTAAATAATTACATTAATTTCTGTGTCCAGGTTTATTAAGTGCTTATTTCCATGTCACTAAACAATCTGTACTTTAATATGTTTATTATTTAGTCCAACTGCACACCAATTTTGAAAGCAGCCACTCAGCTGAAACTATAGAAATAATGAATCTTCAGTGTTGTGCAAAGCAGAGGATTAACTAGTCCCTTCAGTGCTTTTGCAATTTATTTTTGTATGCTTAGATGCAAAAGAGCTTACAGACTAAAACCAGGAGTACTGGCCATATTTGACCGAAACTGGCCAGTAGTTTGGGGTTAGGGGAAAGCTGTATGGGCAGCCAATGCAGGCAGTACTCTAATGCATCTAAGAATGTGTAACTTTACATGGAAAAGTTAATTCTTTTCTCCTGAAAGAGAAGGATTTTCTAGTGTTGTTTCAAAACCAGTGCAATTTCTGTTCCATTTCTTTCATTATCGGTCCCTCATCTTGACCTGCGGTACCTCTGTTCTCTGCCACAAACCTCTTGAATGCCAATTGCTGATTGGAGTACACTGTGAAGTGATTTTTGAGGGCATATAACTGGAGAAGGGGGCACCCAAGCACATTTAAATAAAAGCAAGCTCGAACAGAGCTCCTACCCCCGACAGGGGAACTCACTCTGCAACGCACTCGATTGCTGTGGACACCTAAAACATCCCGGCGACGCTGTTCCTGCCAAAGGTGTGGAATCAATTCCTCGAGTCTCACATTCAATTACTATTTATGTTAATAGGAACCAGGCTGTACCCTTGAGTAAAAGGTGCTCAATACAATTACTCTGATTTCTGTTTGGCTGATTTTCATGTGCGTTAAGTGCTTTCAACTCCCAGCGGACTCAGAGACTACTCACATCCCCTGCTTTTGAAAATGATACCAGTTATCACTAAACACATTAGGTGGCTTAAAGGACACGGGGAAAAAATATCCCTTCATTTCATTATAAAGAGACCTAGGCATATTTAATTTCTAGACAGTCTCCTGTGAAAAGCTGTCAATCACAGATGACATTTTTGGCATGCTGAGAAGGATCCTTCACTTCCTCTGTTCAGAGTGTTCCTCCTTAAAGGGGCCTGGTTCTAATGGAGATGGGATATTGCTATAATTTGCTTGCCTGATTGCTCTCTCAATAGAATTGAACAAATGCATGTGTCATTAAGCTACTTAGGACAACAGATTCTGCATGGAAAAGCTTTACTGGATTAGCCTTTGCTGTTGTATTTCCTGTGTAGTAAAACACATTTGCCAGACCCTGGAATCTCATCAGCAGGGCTGGAGACAGGTCCCTATCATTTATTTCCCACTGAAAAGCAGCGTAGGAGAACTTTGCATTGTCCAAAAGGACATTTTTCATTGTTAGTACGTTCAGTCACCTTTAATTTGAGATAGTACAACTTATGAAACAAGACTAAAAAATACTTTGGTACTTTGGTTTTATCTGTCTGTTCTGGAAATTGTTCCTGATTGTTTTAGTCGTAGCAAGCATGAGGGTGAGACCTTGATGTACTACTTAAACCAGTATAAAATCCACGGTCATAAAACTTTAAGTAATGCTTATGTTACTTTCACTGAGCAAAGTACTCCTGACAGTAGCTGTTTGTGTTGATTTGTTACTATTCATTTATTCTTTCCCTGTGCTTCACATTGCTACCTAATTGTGATGCTGTACTGAGGAAGCAATATCAAAGTAATTTTCCACAACATTAGTTACAATTTTCTTCTGATCTTTCAAGTGAAAAAATCCCATCCTGTTGGCTTCTGTGAGCATATAAACCTTGATTACATTTATCTGTTGGAAACCAATGCTTAGGAAGTACATGTGCCCGGGATAGTGGATGTAGAGCCTTTTTTGCTGATTGACAAACATGCTGTCTGTGTAGTTTTATTTATATAACACACATCACTCTGAGCAGACGTATTTAAGACAGACAGCCATTTAGGGTGGGCAAAACAGATTTCCCAAGCCAATATATTAAATTCAGTAGATATTCCTGTGGTCATTAAAGAGACAATAGCTTCACTTATGACAGTTGTTTTCTTGGCATCTATGAAGAGTGCTCTTACCAGGGAGAAGGAGGATAAAACAGGGGTGTGAACTGAGAAGTGGTATGAGTGATAGTCATACACAGCACAGAAATGCAATGTTATTTTAACAATTCTCCCTGTATAGCTATATACCCCCTGCACACACATCAGAGCAATCCCAGGCACAAACACAGGCAGGGCAGGGAGAGGACTGAGAGCAGAGAAGGACTTAGGGGTGTTGGTGGATGAGAAGTTCGATGTGACCTGGCCATGGCTCACCCATGTCCTGGGCTGCACCAAGAGCAGTGTGGGCAGCAGGGGAGGGGGGTTCTGCCCCTCTGCCCTGCTCAGGTGAGACCCCACCTGCAGAGCTGCCCCAGCTCTGGGGCACCAGCACAAGAAGGACATGGAGCTGCTGGAGCAAGTCCAGAGCAGGCCATGAAGGCTCTGAGAGCTGGAGCTCCGGAGACAGGCTGGGGGAGCCAGGGCTGTTTAGCCTGGAGAAGGCTCAGGGGAGACTCTGGAGCCCTTTCCAGTGCCTGAAGGAGATCCAAGAGAACTGGAGGGGGGACTTTTTACAAGGGCCTGGAGTGAAGAAGGAAACTGAAAGAGGGTGGATTTGGATCAGATACAAGGAAAAAATTCTTCCCCGTGAGGGTGGTGAGGCCTTGGCAGAGGTTATCCAGAGAAGCTGTGGATGATCCTTCCCTGGAAGTGTCCAAGGCAAGGGTTGAGCAGCCTGAACTAGTGGAAAGTGTCCCTGCCCATGGCAGGGGGTGGAACAAAATGAGCTTCAAGGTTCCTTCCAACCCAAATCATTCTCTGACTCTATGATTTTATGACATAAAACTTGGTTTCTGTTGTAATCATACCTTTATTCTTAAACAGACACAGGAAAGGAATTGTTATGAGTAAGTCAAGCACATTTGCACATGGTGCACAAGAAAAATTTAATACATATATCCCCATCCTAATGCTAATGACCCTTGAATGCATGACTCTTTTGTCTGTGACAGATTATTAAACTGTCACACCAGGGACACAGTATCTGCAATACCTACAGCTGTACTACAGACTGTGTGCTCTATGGACTTTAGTCAGAAGAGGTGGGATATTCTGAAATGGTATAGACTTTTCTAATAGGAGATTTTGCCACATAAAAACTAGGGGAAGTATTAATATTCCTCTACATCTACATTCTTGTAGCAGATTTCTCTACATGGTGAAAAAGTCTGTGAGAAAAAAATGTTATCGCATTTTTGCCACATGGGTATTGAATTCACAAACCTGTAAGAGATTTCAGCTAGAACTTTTAAGATGAATATATATGGTCACATGCTCCTCTGGGAGCTGATAAAAGGTGGAAAATACATCTCAAAGGATCCATGTTGTGAAAGCTCCAAAAGGGTGAAAACAGGGAGTAGAATGGAAATGGCTTTGCACTCTGACTGTATCAGAATTTGAAAGTCAAATATGAATATAACCAAGCCTGAGACTCATCTGACTGAGATTCTGCAGTGATTGCTGTCCTTACCTCTTCGACCAGTTTTTAACATTATTCTGTCATCCTCTTTATTTTCTGCTTTACAAAGGGTGGGATGGGGAGAAGGGAGGAAGGAGAGACTGCAGATGCTCTTGTCCCTGATGGCACAAGGGAGCTACAGGGAATATTACAGTAGCCTAAGAGCAAATACCAATACTCTAACTGTGCTGAAAGCTTCTTATTCAGAGCACACACACCTTGTTACTCACAAATTACACTCCTATGCACATCTCAGTGCTCACTGTACATTTCCATAATACTGTCCCAGTGCACAGTGTACCTACCACTTGTTTGTCAGACTGGAAACTTTTTATAAATACAATTGAAAATGAACTAGCATTGATACATAATTTCAGAACTAATTTTCCTGCAATTTACAAGTTCCCGTTCTTTATAAGCTATTTAATCTGCTTCTCAACTGACAGAATGAGCAGAGATCATGAGCAAAGAATCTGGTGACTGTAG